AGCACGTGCTTGCAGCTACCTTGGGTTCATCACCTGAATAGGCCAAAGGACCTTTCGCCCAGTGATCTGTGTAGTCGAGCAGCGTGCTACTAGTAGCAGTATGTAGCTCTGGGCCCTGGTCCTGGCCCCAAACGCAACAGAATCGGTTGCACAGCTGTGTTACACGAGCGCAGAGTGCTTCCCTGGAAGTACCTTTGGGGAGGTAAGAGTGGTCTAGTGGCTTAGTCGGAGAGCAGGACTGAAAGATATGTCGATGCTGCTGTGATTCTGTGAGTTGTGCAAGCGTCGGCTAATGTCGGCTAGCTGCTTGAACAAGTTGTTTCGGAGTGGTCTGAGTCCGAGGGAGCAAAGTCTTCGCAAACTCAGCATGTTCTGTGGTTTTACTGCATTGCTTGGGGCTTGGGGTCTACAGTCTGCCACGCACACCTTGCAAACGCAAAATATGGCTCCTTGCCTGACTTTCTTGTTCCAACTGTTCGATAAGAGGGGTGGGTATGCCCGGCTGTCTATTCCATCGTGTTCTCAGTGGATCCACTGCCGTACATCTGGTGCATTGTTTTGATGATCGGCTGTGCCCTTCCTGGCGTCCCTCACAGCACGCGCTATCCGGCATCCATGCTTGCCTTGCAGAGCCGGCGATTGTCTGGTTGGAGGGACGAAGCAAAATCTTTGGTTGCAATGCATCGGGATCGTCCTGGCCTTTCACTCCGTACCGACGAGGAGGAGCTAGGAAATGTCATGGGCCTGGGGTTACCGCGGCTTGTTGACGCCCCGGCTTTGGCCAAATTGCGGGAAGACAAGAGAAATCAGAAGTAACCCCCCGTCGACCAGCTGCAAAGTTGGTTGGTCCAAGCCGTGCAGCTTCTTTAGGGCCTACTTTGGACTGGTTATCGGGGGGTTGGTCTTTAGGGTTTAAAGCTTACTCTGGGAGCTTTTTAAGGTTTGAGGCACATACTGATTTTTGTTTTGTTTAGGGTTTACGCAAAGTTTAGGGGCTACCCTGGGCTGGTCTTTTTTCTTTAGGGTTTCGGGCTGTTGTTGCCCTGTAGGATCTAAGGCCCTAAAGCCGCATTAGGGCCTACTTTGGCCTGGTTTTTGGGGTTGAGAGTTCGTCTTCAGCGTTGAAGGTGTAGCACCCACGCTGGGCCGGTTTCAAGGGTTTGGCTTGCTGTCTTTACGTTGGGTTTAGGGCCTACCCTTGGTGAGCTTTTAAGGTTTATCTCCTAATCGGAGGGTTATGGGCCAACAGGTTTCAGACATGGGCAAGTTTTTAACGTTGCTCTGGGCTGGTTTTTGGTGTTTGGAGCATGATGGGGTTGGCTTTTAGGGTTTAGGACCCTACTGTATTTGTTTCTACCGCGCCATTGGCCTAGTTTTCCTTGGCCGAGCTAATGTAAATGCTTGTGTTTCGGGCATGTTCGCACTACCAGCGCGCCCCTGAGACGTGTTTCAGCAACATCAAGCATAAGCATCTTGGGCCGCAGTGTCGCAAACGTCCAACACGCTGTATAGGCCAGCTTTCTGGACTGCTCACCCAAAATCCACAAAAGTGGACAACGACGACGACAACCACAACCACTACAACTAGTACGACGCAGCAGCAGCAGCAGCAGCAGCAGCAGTAGTAGCACTAGAAGTAGCACTAGCAGTAGCACTAGCACTAGGACTAGCACTGGAAGTTGCAGTAGCTGTAGCAGTAACAGTGGTGGTGGTAGTAGTAGTAGTAGTAGTAGTAGTAGCAGCAGCATAGTAGTAGTGGCAGCAGCAGCAGCAGCAGCAGCAGCAGTAGTAGTAGTAGTAGAAGAAGAAGCAGAAGTAGTAGTAATAGTAGTAATACTAGCAGCAGCAGAAACAGCAGGAGGAGGAGGCGGAGGAGGAGGAGGAGGGGGAGGAGGAGGCGGAGGAGGAAGACGACGACGACTTGTAGTATTGTCGTTGCTGTCATTTTCATCCAAGACAATGTCACTGATGGTTGGAAAACCAAACAAAAGGTTTTGAGGCCAGTTACCGGTGGTAAAAAATGCAGCCTTAGACATTTCCGCGGTGTGCATACGGGTTCCCCTGCAAATGCTCGGAGGTGTTAATTGGGTTCGAAACAGCTTTTCAACACTTTGCAATTGCAAGCTCAACACTGGTTTTTTGCGTGCTCCCGTCTTGGAAAAGTTTTCCACAATCAAGTGAGTCAACGGCTGCGCACCCAGGCGCGGATAAGTTGCCACGAAGTTCGTGCGCGGGGTTCGGCAAAAGATCAAACGTGAAGGTGCCAAGATGGTTCGTGCTCACCGAGGCTTGCGATACTTTGAATGAGCACAGGGCAGAGTTACAGTCATAGTTGATGGCGCATACATCGGAGCCGATGCAGCCTCTGCTTCTCAGCTCCCGCCGAGCGTTGTGTGATTGACTCTGTTTGACTCAGTTTCGAGGAGGAAATTGCATCGTGGTTGGCATTGCCCTTGCCTGCGTCTTGCTGGCTGTCTCCTTGGCCACTAGCTGCTGGAAGCTGGTATATTCACACAACAAACTTGCCATGTGCCTGATTCTCGGCGAGCGAGCCTTGCAGAAATGCTGAACCTCTGCTCAGGCCTCTCGCGCATTTGTTTCTGCACCTTCGGCTGCCTCTGCTTCCCGACCTTCGTCTTGTTTCAGAGAGTTGTGTATACTTTAGGTTGACGGGTATATGGAGAATGCGAAGTTGCAGCGTGAGCATCCTTTTACCCCGACATGCTTTGACAGCCTTCACCGAGAATTTGGCGACAGAATTTCTGAATGTGTTGAGGACTGCCAGAGGTTGATGCAGGCTCCTCAAAGGATCACCATGTTCATTGAGCATTGCTTCAGATCGTCCTGCGGCAAGGCGTTACGCAGTACTGATGCTTCGTCAAGGCACCTACAAGCTTGCTCAACAACCCTTGACTGGATAAGGGCCGGGTGCTGGGCGCGACTTTCGCCGGCCTGGCCCCACTGGCGGCCAGCTCCTCGAGAAGGGCCCTCTTGCATTCTGATGCTTCCTCAAATAGAATGCCTCATCAGACATCCAGGATCCAGGCATCTTGCAACTTGTGAAACGCGGAATACCTAGATCGAGCAGCCGGCCAGTGCCTACGACAGCGTCGTTGCCATGCTCCAGAGCTGGCTTGTAGGCAGCTTTTCATGCTTTGAAGGCGAGGGCCAGTTCCAGTCAGCCACCGGACGCGCAGGTGGCATTTCATTGGTGCTGATCTATGGAGCGGCCCTGGTCGCTGCCGTGGCCAACCCATTGACGAAGAGGTGGGGCCCGGTGGGGGGGGGGGGTTTAGGGTTTCAGCTGGACCGCAGCGGCTATCACGGTTTTTGGGGCTTCTTGGCCTTGGGTGCAGGCGCCTGGAAGTCAGGGACCAGGCGGGGAAGCGCAGCGCTTCTCGTGCTTTGCTTTCAGTCCGACATGTGCAGGTGGAGTCCAAGTGACAAGGGAAGGCCGGTTGCACGGGAATCCGTACCAGAATGTGGGGCTCCCCTGAGCGCAGGCACAGGCGCACACGACTCGCTTCTTTTTTGGCAGTCTGGATGCTGGAGTCCTGGAGTCTGCAGCTGCAGCTTCAGCGAGCATCTGAGTTGGGCTTAGAGCCTTTCGGGGCCGAACACGGGGAGAAAGCGCCGCTTCCTCGCTCAGGCGAGGAAATCCCGCCGCGCGGGCCTTTGGAAGTCACTGGCCATGCGAAACGAAGCGGAGAAAGAAGCGCGCGCGCGCGCCCGCACGCCCTGGCTACGAGCTTGTGAGCTGAGACTTTGCCTCGCAGCTCTGACGTGCCTTCAGGATTTTTGGCCCAAGCGCCCGAAGCTGCAAAGCCAGGAAAGAGCTCTGAAACGCACCGCGTGGCCCAGGTCGCTCCGAGCCTTGGGATTCTTGGGATGGGCTTTCCCTTCTCGAGAACCCAAGGGTGTAATAGTTGAGCTTGGAAGCTTCACGGCCCGGCTCGGGGTATCCCCTGGCAGTGTCCCTGCCGGGTGTAAGTCGGGCACTCCTTTCGAAGAAACTGCAAGCTGAGTGCTGAGGGGTCTGGCCTAGAATCAAGTGAAGCTTCAAGCTTCGAGCTCTGGAGTTCAGAACTGGAAAGTCACAAGTCAACTGCACATCCTGAAGCTTTGTGCCGCAGGTAGGTTTGTTCGTGTGGTTTGCAGCCTAGCTTCGACGAAGGGTTCTTGACCCCACGGACATAACAGGAGTTGCTCGCGGCGTACAGTGGATGCTGTGCCAAAAATCCAGTTTGCTGAAGCTGAAGAAAATTGTTGTCTCAGCCCCAATTGACACTAAGCAAGCAGAGTGTTATGTGTGAGAGTGATGACCCCAAAACAGACTCTAGAAGCCAAGTTGACAAGCATTGCCTCAAACAGGAGCTTGTTTTTGCTGGCGGCGAGAAACTCATAGTAGTGCTGAAACATACCTCCTGGAACGTGCTATCTGGGTAGACTCTTGGGATCTTGTTGTTCCGGTTATCTTTCCGCCTCGACTGTCCTCATTTTGTGCATCAAAAAGCGCGCAAGGACGAAACTCTGAAAGACAAGTGGCGGGATGAGCAAGAGGCAAAAAAACAACAGTTGTTCGACAAAAACCTAGATGACAGACGATGCCGCTGCCCCAATACGAATTAGAGCGCTTGTCGCAAATCCCATTACCCAATTGAGATGCATTTTCTCTGAACCAAGACGAAAAAAGGCGGAATTCAAAACCGCTGCACATCAAGAACAGAGGCATACTGGCAGCGTCCCAATCCCGCGACATCAAATCAATTTCCTCGAACCCCGTTCCAGATAAACCGTTAAAGGGGAAGACCGTGCCGCGACTTCCATCGTCCCTAAAGTCTAAAGCGCCGATATTTTCCGTGAAGGAGGCGTTTTGCCAGAATCATAGCCTTGCAGGTGTGATAGCAAGCCAACCAGGGCCATCGTGTTTCTTTTCCATCAGCCTGTCAAGTTCGTACAACTAAAAGTTCTTTCACACTCAACCCACCCGCCCAGGCCGTCACCCCCTGCAAGCAAAGGCAAGTACCAGGGCAAGTCGAGCCTGCAAGGTGCTCAGTTCTCTTCAAGGCGATATGGCGCACCGAAGTGAGGATCCCGGCACAGCCCTCCGGCTGAGACAGTTCTGATTTCAGTGTCTGTGAAGGCTTTCTGCCCTCGCTCCTTCTCTTGGCGCTCGGATCATTTCTCCTGGCCCGGGCACGGGGCCCAGGGTTTCCACGTCGGTCGCGGCAGCTGCGGTGATGCCGGCCAAGGCCTCTTTGTCCTTTGTCTCCGGACCTGCTAGAGCAGGCAGGCGTGAGATCAAAAGGATCCTTCCTTCGGATTCAAAAACTTTTGACAAGGTTGCAGCCCGCAGTCCACCCTTTCGCATCCAAATGGCCACACTGCTGCCTTCTGTCATGGCTATCGGCTGCCTATACAACAGCTGTAGCAAAGAACATATCTCAAGGCTGTCGAATTTTGCCTCCGCCTAGTCTTTCAGAAGCTCGGTGTGCAGGAGCCACGCCCGTTGAGGTTGATGCCGGGAAACTCAGTGCGTTCATGTGCAGATGCTTGTGATTCTGTTGTTGGTTGACGCTTAATGCTTGTCACTTTGAACAACTCTTGCTTTGCCTTTCTCTCAGCGACTGTCCATTGCAGCTGGGCTTGAAGGCTGGGCGGTTGCGTGCTGACGTGTCATCTCCATCTTTGTTGAACAAGATTTGTGGTCGGAGCCTTCGAAATTCTCCCAGCTTTGCACGAGCCATGGAGCCATGGAGAGAGCATCTGGCTGCCCTCGGACAAGAGCTCGAGACAAAATCCAGCTTGCTCCAGTCGCTGCGATTGCAGAACTGCCAACTGGAGGAGGCTTGGCAGCTCTCGTTTCACAAATTCACTGATTACGAGGGTTGCAGCCATTAGCAAGCCCTGTTCGTGGTAGATGCTATCTGCAGTGCCCGAAGAGTGTGTGTGCTCGCGAGTCTTAAGAACTTTGACTTCCGATCGCCGCATTTCCCGCGACATGTCACAAAGTGCTGTTTGTGTGGACCTTTGTGGGACTGCCTCGGTGCCACGTTGTGTTGCGATAAGAGTCGAAGCGGAGCTTCACCTGTAAATTGTGAAATCTCTTTTGTCTTTGGATTGCAGGCCTTGGCTCGCTGGACCCAGCAGGGCCAAGCACACGGAGAACTGGCACAGGCCGGACAGGCTGGACAGGAGTCCGGCGGGATGCGGAGCCATGCGTCAGACGGGCAGCCAGGGTGCTGGTCGGTGGATGAAGTTCGGCAGCTTCCCGGCGAAGCCGGACATTCGCTACCCATTCAGTGGATTACCCCGCAGTCTCGAGCCGCGAAGTCCTTATCCTTGGCGCTGGGCGCTGCTGGCATGAAGATCGCCCAGCAAGCTGCACAGCAAACGCCACAGGGAAAAAGCCAATGGGTCGGCAACAAATCCCAGGCTTCCTTAAGCACACAGAGCTCTGGCGGCCAAAGCCGCGCCTCTTCACCCACGTCATCCTCGTCACTTCGGCTCAAGACGCCGGCAAAGTCAAGGCTGATTGAAGAGGGTGGCATCAAGTTCGCAGTCTTGAGGGCAAACGAAAATACCATCCTCACAGTGCAGAAACCATGGCACCTTGTTCAAGTTACTTTGTGAACAGATTCGCTTCGTAAGAAACCCTATGCAGTTTGAACGCCCTTACACCCGCTGCTTGGTGCACACTGTTGTCGAGGTACATCATCAATCCGGACAGGAGCCAGTTTGCCAGTGTGTGGCAATTTGTGATGGGCTTTGCCCTGGTTTTCGTTGCACTGGTCACTCCGGTGCAGGTGTCGTTACTGGAGCCTGCTTTCGACTTTCTCTTCCTGCTCGGTTTGTTCGTAGACTTCCTCTTCTTGTGCGACTTTGTTCTCCAATTTTTTACCGCCTATCCCAAGACCACGCCACATGGTCTCGTCTGGGAAGTGCGTCTCCACCATATCTTCTGCCACTACCTGAAGACCTGGCTTTTCTTGGACTCTCGGATGCGCTATGCACACTAACACGCTGGAAGCATCTGCATGCCGGGATGCAGGGCCTCATTTTTCATAGCGGTTTATTCACTTTGCACATAAGGATCTGGCCACCTTGATCCCCTTCGACTTTCTGACCGTCGTGCTGCAGGTGACAAGTCACAAGAGGGGGGGAACACATTGCGACTGCAGAAGTAACGTTCTAGGATTGATGCCTGCTCGGTTTGAATGCTCTGGCACGTGCATTGGTTTGTCGCCAATGTCTGACTATTGCCTGCAGTCTGCAGTTCTTGCCTTTCGACACATGTTGGAGCTTGTCTATGCAGGCGGCGACACTTCAGGATTTCGTGGGCCTGAAAGTGATCCGATCTCTGCGGCTCATGAAGCTCATGCGGATCATGAAATCGTCCAAGGTGTTCCAGGATTTTGAGGCGCCCCTTGCTATTCCGTACCAGAAGATAGCTCTGCTGAAGTTCATGGTGGTTCTGCTCTTCATCTGCCATTGGTTTGCCTGCGGCTGGGCGGTGACTTTGTCGGCGGTGGACGCGTTTTACCCTCGTTGGATTGATGGCATCCAGGAGGCTGACAGCGCCTACGGCATCGTGACCACGGACTCTCCATTTCGCATCTACATAGCTGCTTTCTACTTTTGCAGCTATACCATCACATCAGTTGGCTACGGCGATATCGTTCCTCAGAACGTCCTCGAACGTGGTGTGTGCCGGCTTAAGAGAGAACTGAGGGCAGGTGAAGTTTGCTCGAAAATTCTTCAGCATGTGATTCTTGTGTGTGTGTGTGTGTGACAGCTGAGTAAAACAAAAGCAAGGTCTGTTGTGGAATACTATTGACAGCCGGTCTGTCTTGGACCTACATCATTGGAGAGGTGTGCACTATAGTCGCGGACATGACTTTGGAGAGCCAGGAGTTTCGCAAGACGATGCACCACCTCAACAAGGCAAGGCGGATGTGAACCGCATTGCATCATGACGACACCTCCATCCTGAGCCTAGGCATGTAGCTGCAGTAGGGTCGCAGGCAAAGGCAGGCATATTCCGCTGCGCCATTGCTTCAACATGTCAATGGGTCTCCACGGCCAGGGCCGGCAGGTAGCCTTTTCTAAGTCTTCCTGTGCTTGTAAAACCGAGCCTTCTCGCCTGAGCCAGATGATGCGGGACCAGCGCTTGCCCCATGATCTCCAACAACGGGTGCGACGCTACTTCTTGCAGAACCGCGGCCAGTCTCTCTTTGTGGCGAGGCAGTCGTTGATGCGACGGATGAGCCCACAACTACAAGCCGAGGTCTCTGCCATGACCAACATGTTGTGGCTGGAGAAAGTGAGTTTCTTCAAATCCTTCATGAGCTTCATCGAGCAGCAACGGAGCCTCGGAGAGTACACCGCTCCCAACGAAGCTTGCGTGGCAGACGTTGCAAAGTCGCTCCGTTTGGTTGCATTTGCCCAACAGGAGACTTTCCACAACGTGCAAGTCTTGTACATCCTTTCGAAGGGTCTGGTCGCCCTGAACAGCCGTGTTGGAGCGCTCGGTGAGGTTTGGGGTGAGGATTTCGTGTTGTCGGACACCTCCCTGATCCGGCCGGTGGCTGGCTATGCGCTGACGTACCTGGAGCTCCTGAGCCTCACTCGAGAGGACTTCATGCAAGTCATCCAGACAAGGCGCATCACTTGCCCAGAGCTCTTCCGACTTGTGCGGCGCTACTGTGTACGGATCGCCGTGTACCGTGGCATTTTGGCGGAAGCGAGGCGTCGGCAGCTGTACAGAAACGCCAACGCCGGGACAGAGGCTTCGTGCGCCTATCCAGCACCCCGCCAGGCGGGCCAGGCGGGCCAGGCGCAGCCTGTGCCCCCAAAAGCAGAGATGGCCGTGCTCTGCAGCTCTCTGAGCCTTCCAGGCACGGTCGAGATTTGGGACTCCGCATTTTAACTCCTCTCCCCAAGCTGACTCTTGAGGCTAAAAACTTCTGGGAGTTGGACAATTCTCTCTCATCCTTTTGACCTCCAAACGTCTCCAAATCCTGGAAGTATCCGAGGCCATGCCCATGGAAATCCGGGGCCTGGAAAACTGTTGCCCCTGTTGTCAGTAATGATCAGTAAAGAAGAGCAGCTTCCCACCGCCTCCATAGGCATGGCCCATGGTGTAGTTCGACTATATCTTCTGGAGTGCTGCGGTGTCCTTTTGTTACCTTCATTAGGTGAGCAGCCTGGTCTGGCCCTGCATCTGATCACGCAACTGTGTTGGATGCTTGCCGCTGTACCGGGTTTTCTTCCGCACCTTTTGTGCGGAGTTTACGTGAATTGCCTCTTCCCCAATCCACGTTTCCGGGGAAGATGCCTGCCGGCTTTTGACACACGACTGCGCCGGCTAAGGACTCACCCGAAACTGTCACGGATTGGCTGGGAGGTGTTGCATGTAAGTACCTCAATCATTCTTTTTGCGCGCAGAAAAGCGAGGCAGCCAGGTCGATTAGAATCGGAGGTACCTGAGCAAAGTGCAAATGCTAGACTGCCTTCTAGCTCTCGGCTCTTGCGATCAGGCTCGTGTTCTTGGGGCTACGTTTGCGGGCCTTGCCCCGTTGGCAGTCTGGGCCCTTTGCGTGCCCGTTCAAGTGTCTCAGCACAGGCCAGACCAAAGATGTTCTGTGCCAGGTGGAGCAGCCTGCCAACGCTTATGACAGTGTAGTTGCCATGCTGCAGAGTTGGCTTGTAGGCGGGGGTGCTGCTATGACTGCTAAGTTAGAAGACAAAGAAGTGTCCCTCAGCATTGGCAATGGGCAGTTTTGTTGGCCTTCTTTTCAGGTGGCATTTCTCTGGTCTTGATCTATGGTGCTGCGCTCGTGGCTGCCGTGGCAAACCCCCTGACAAAGAGGCGAGAAAGATTAGGGCCTAGGGCGATTAGGGCCAGGAGCAGGCCGCTTGAAGGCAGTGCTGTGTCGTTTGTACATGCACAGGCGCTTGGAGGTGCGGAACGAGGCGCTGTGAACCTAAACCGCTGAACCCGCTTCGAGCCATGTGACTGATGTTTGTGGAGGTGGAGGCTATGAAGTGATCAGCTTCCAGGAGTGCAGCACAAAGCATGTTTGTTTGGCCAAGATTGAAGAGCATGCAGGCTTCGTGGCCTCGCAGCTTTTTTGCAACTTGTCTGCGCCTGGCACCCCGGCCGACCTTTCAAGGAGGTCTTAGCTGGGACGAAAAGTGTCGGTCCAGCGCTTGATATCTGATTCTGTCTGTGACAGGACATGTGGTCCCCAAAGACTGTAGGAGTCGAGCTCAATTCGCAAAGTTGCAGGACACCTGTGAAACAAGTCGCTATGTTTGTGCATCCTCAGCCATTTCGGGGCACATACCGACATCCCTCAGACCCGCCGGTGTAGAGATGGCTCGGACCCGCCAGTGCCTGAGAGTTTGAGAGCTTCCAGCAATTGCCGGAAGCAAGAAGACTCGCTGGGAGGTGGAAGCCTCCTTGTGGCTGTGGCCGTGGGCTGCGCCCTTCTGGTGCGAGCCCTAAAAGCGCCCCCACCGCTTTTCCATTCAAGAGCAGGCGGCTCCCAGGGCATCCCGCAGTCTTCTCGGAAGTGTCAGTGTCTTTTCGTTTAAGGAGCTTTCAAAGGTTCTGCGCCGTCTTAGAACTGAAACCTTGGCGTGGTCTTAAGATGAAGGGCTGCAGGACCCCAGCAGAGCAGCGCCCTCACGCCCTGAGCCGCCATAAAGACTGGCGGGTTCGATGCGCTCTTCGAAAAGTGGCGATTCTCTTATTCGCTAAGGTCTCGCAAGCCTTCGTCTGCGGGCCTGCAAGACAGACCAGGGAGGGTGTTTCGAGACTCTGCACTTTCAGCAGAATGGTCGACTTCATGAGACGACAGAGGGGCACCCAAATGCTTCGCATCAGAGTGCCAACTAAGTGGGGAGAAGAGTTTCTGCGGCTCATCACATTCAGCGAAATGTTCCCATCCACGCTCTACGCGCTTCTTGCCTTTCGCTTTCAGAATCTCGGCCTGGTGCTTAAGCCTGGCAGGAGCTGCACCTGAGGTGGATGCAGGGGCCTCGACAGAAATCTCCCTGTATCTTGTCTTGTGTAGGCGTAGCTGAGGCGCGCGTCTTGGCTGCCACCTTTGCTGGGCTGTCTCCCCTGGCAGTTCCGGGCCCTGGAGCTGAGAGGCGGGAGCCCGGGAGTTTCTGGCATCGGAGGTCGAACAGCCTGCCGGCGCCTACGACAGCGTGGTCGCGATGCTCCAGAGCTGGCTGGTAGGCTTGTGCTTGGGCATATCTGGGGCAGACAAGGGCTGCATGATGCCTGTGCGCAACAGCATGCAACGATGTTCTCGCTGCGCAGGCGGCATTTCCCTTGTCCTTATCTACGGGGCCGCCTTGGTGGCGGCTGTGGCGAACCCGCTGACGAAGAGGCAAGCGACTTCGGAGTCTTGAGGGAGCGTTGGGTGCGTTTTGGGCGCCACGGTGTTTCCTTGCGCAGGCGCCTGGAGGTCAGGGATCAGGTGGAGCGCAAGTGAACAGTGGAAGCAGGAAGCTCAGGAGTTTTGGTTCAGCCGATGCCTTTTGACTGGATGTCACCTCGTTTCCCAGGCTGAAGGCACCACTGCACACGGCGCTTTTTAGCAGCTGGCTTGGGAGAGCGTGGTCTCGCCTAAGTGCACCATCAGCTGACTAGCCAGCCTCGCATGCTGCTAAGGATAAGCCTCCGTCGGCACTTCGAAAGAGAAAGAGCGGAGGAAAATCAGAGCCATCTCGATGCTTCGTGCAGCCCCTGCACGAGACGTATTCGCATGGAGGGTATTTGGAATGCTCTTTTTTCTTCTGCAGGAAGGCCGTCCTGTCATGGTTGCCGAGGCATCACACGCCGCTGCAATTGCCTTTTCAATTCGGTGGACGAGCATTGGGCCAATGACACGTCTCAAGGGTAGCTAAGTCTGAGCTAAGTTCTACTGGCGCTGTTAAAGAGGTGCAGTCGTGGTTGAAGCTGTAAAAGGTGCTCTACAGCTCATCCAGTAGCAAAGTGTGTGTTCTACCCTCGACAGATTGCAAAAACCTCGCGTGAAACCCCGCAGAGCCTCCCAGTCGAGTCAGCCAGCTCGTGACTCCAGTTGCGCATGCAGCGTTGAAAACGGGTTATCTTCGCCTGCGCGAAGCGCCATGAACTTCCCCGTGCCTTGGAGGGCCTTGTTGCCGGCTGGGGCCTCTGGGGTGGACCTGGGTTCTGCATCGCGTGTGCTTTTGGGGCCCTGACAGACTTCAGAGCTCTGGGCCTGTGGCTCGCGAGGGAAGGGGTCTTCACTTGTGTCTTGTATTTTTGGTGTCGCTTCTGCCTTTTCTAGTGGAAAGCAATTCGTTGACAGGGCACGAGCACAGGTCTTGATCGAAACCCGCATGAAGCTATGTGCACCAATCCAAGACCTTTGTTCGACGGAACATATAATGGGGTCCGTATTCTTGTCATACTCCATCATCCTCTGTGCAGCTTCACAGCCGCCGCGATGCCGGTGACAGTTTAGCTGTACACCGTAGCATTCTTGTGCTTGAGTGCCCGCCGATCTCGGGTAATCCCGGATACGTTGTTTTCATTCTTCTGACTGTCATTCATTATTACTTGCGCTCTTCGTGTTGGTATCGTTTACTCTCCTGAATAGTATGCAGGTTGGGCTTGATTGACGGTGCTCAGACTTGTGTCTGCAAGCGACCCACAAGCTCACGAAGAATGTGCCATAGGTCGCGTTCGGGGTGGCTTTCGTCATTCTTGCTTTTCCAAGACGGCGAAAGGAAGAACAACAGAAATAAAGAACGAACGCAAGACATAAACACAGATGGGCGTCAGACACAGAAGAAACCTGAACTGCAAGCCGAAGCCGCAAATCCGAAGTCGAAGCAGTTTTCCCGAACGCGGTACTGGAGGCCCCTGACCCTGGCCCAAAACTTAAGGAGTGAACCCAACAGCCCTAGCCGAAGGATGCGAAATCCACCCCACCAGAAGCCGACAAGCCCTCTTTCACCCGCAGCCCAGAAAGCAAACAAAAGCAAAGCCCTCAAGAGTGAATCCAACCACTGCCTCTGCCATCATGGTACTCCTGACACCTACTTGTAGGCGGATGGAAAAGGGGTGATTAAAAAAACAAGGTCAAGCCGGGAACCCAAAATCCAAACCGTTCTTTCGGCATAAGGGAGAGCTTTGATCCAGAGCAAGGCTTTCTGACTTTTCTTCGCCGGTCCCCGTCCACGCAGAGCTCCCTATCCACGGCCGCGTCCTCCCGCGAACGCTTGGCACGCAGAGCTCCAGGTCCTCCCGCGAACGCTCGGCACTCAGAGATCCCCATCCGTCCCCGTCCACGGCCGCGTTTTCCCGCGAACGCAAGCACCCAAAACTCCCCACCCGTCCCCGTTCACCGCCACGGCCACTCGCCAACGCTCCGCACCGAGAGCTCCCCACCCGTCCCCCAGCCGTCCCCGTACACGGCCCGTCGACACGATGCGGTGGACGCGTCCTCTTCGCTAAAACGGTTTTCCGGTCCACGGCAACGTTTTTTGGTGAACGCTCCCCCGGGAAGGAAAAACTAAACAAACCCAACCCCCCAGGGTTTTTTGGGAAAAAGAACCCAACCCCACATCTCAAACTGGAAGCCGGAAATCCTAAATAAAGAGCCCATCCCAGCCGTTAGAGTTCAGGGCTCTAGGATGTAGAGTTTTTGCCCCCATAGGGTTCAGGCTTCGCGGACAGGCATTGGGCTTGAGTGAATTTCGATTTAAAGAAGGACACCCCCGAGGACGTTTGCTAGTAAGGGTTCTTGAGGATAGTTGGTTTGGAGCCAACCTTTGAACTCTGTTTGCCACGCAGCAGCTTGACATGACCCCACCAGCGCTCACTTGCGCTCATGCTCGCGCACCGGTGCCCACCAGCCCCGACTAGTGATTACCAACTCGGAGCCCCGAAACCCAACAAGACCTAAAGGGTGCAGACGTCGAAAACCCGAAGGAGTGAACCCAATCTAAACAGGGCCGATACTGTAAATCCGACGCCAAGGCAGCTTGCCCACAGGCCGTACCCGGAGCCCCTAAACCCAAAACGCAAGACCACAAGCCAACAAGGGTCCGGCTACCTGTGGGAGTCAAGCCAAACCTCGAAACTCCCCAAACCCAAACCCTAAACCGGAGGCCGAGAACCCTAAACCCTAAATCCTGAACCCTTTCAGCCCAAAGCAGCAAGAGTGGAAGAAAAGGGCTTTCGTTCCAGACTATTGCGTCGAAACAAGCAAAAAGCCACAAGCGACACCAGAAAAAGTAACACAAGCGGCACCAGTACAAAAGACACAAGTAACATCAGAATGAAAGGCACAAGTGCTCCAGGATCCGTGTGTGAGGGTTTTAGACGCACTACATAAACCGGAGTTGCCAAGTGCCGAGGCTGATGCGGTGCCCACTTTCTCCGGCCAAGATGGGCTTCGGGAGATTTGTGATGCCACTGGTGCAGGCACGCTTGGAGTAGGGAGAGGGGTCAGGGCTTCGACTCGCCGGTTCGCCGTCGTGCAGGCTGTGAGCTCACTGGCGAAGGAGACACGCCTTCTTCGCAGCTCTGCCGCGGATAGTGCCATGGAGCAGATGGCTCGCGCGGGCCACACCCTGGGCACTGGACTTAGGCTCTCAGACAAGATCCTCACCATTAGCGGGAACGTGGAGCAGAAGGAGGCATATCACCTTCCTTCCGGAGGGCCGAACCGGCGTTTCCATGTCGATGCAGAACACAGGCCGCTTGCCGGCGAATTGTCGACAAGCTCCGAGTTCTGCAGGAGGTGATTGACCAGGAGACTCGGAAAATGATTTGGTGACACGTCCTCCGTGGCGCATGTATAGCACATCGCAGGAGCCTGGAGTTTTCGTCATCATTGCCCTTGCCTCAGCAAATCAGGCCTATTGTGGCCTGCTGCTGCGTTTGGCCTCGTCCTAAGCAGCCTGTCACATATGCCGAAATCTGAGGTCCCCTCTGCTGCCGCCCCTGCCGTGATTGGGAGCAAAGGCGCCCAAATCAAGGAGGCACAGCACTTGAGTGCCCTGAGTCGCCGTTGGCTCCACGGCCATGTGAGGTCATCGAGCTCAGCGGTGCAGAGGTGAGCGTTGCGAAGGAGAGCATCATCGGTGCTCCGGCAGTACGACGAGTGCGGTCCACGCTGTTGATAGCCCACATTCTCGCCTAGGCATGAATGACCAACCCATTGGCGTCACCGGCACAGGTGGTCGGGTGGCCCAAGAGCCTGGTCGAAGCAGAGGAACTTGTCAACTTACTGAGCTGGAAGGTCAAGTGGTCTCTGCTGTCAGCAAGATCAACGCCATCCTTCAAGACTTGGCGCAGCCCCCAGCTTCGCTTGATCATGGGTGAGATGTCTCGTTTTGATCCAAGCAACTTCTGTGATTGAGAGCCAAGAGCGCTTCCAGGCGGATCGGGGGCGTCTGCAGCCGACAGACTTCCGGTACCGACCCGGAGCGCAGAGACCAGAGGACCGGCACACGGCAGGCGAAAGAGCGAAGGAGGAAGGACACAGAGCCAGGCCTAGATGCAGGGCTGTTCTTAAGAGGCTCATGGTTTCTACACGGCCAGGTGCCGGTGCATAGATGTCTGCAGTCTGCACATGCACATGCCTGCAGACGGCAGGACTCAGGCGGCTCCTCTTTTGGAGCTCCCGGGCGTGCTGCGCATCCTACAGGAGGCTAGGTAGGGCATGGACAGACAAGGTTGGCCACATCTGGCTTCAGAGTCTCAGGCAATCCCCGGACCAATGCCAAGTTCGTGGTGGCAACACAGGCTGCGCCTGCTTACTTTCAGAGTCTTTCAGAGGTTTTCAGGGCTTCAGACAGCCCGTGCCGAAGATGCTCGTGCAGCCCCCATGCGCTGTCAGCAGCAAACAGAAAGCTCGTTGTTCGGTTTTTGTGCGAGGCAAGTGCCGAGGTTTGTGCATGACTTTTCTGGCGACATCGGAACTCATTGCTGTTTCGCAGCCCTCGCTTGGACAGGTAGCAGGCTGGATCATCGGAAAACAGGGGCGGCACATCCGGGAGCTGCAGGAGCGTCAGCTGCTGCAAGATGGCAGCCCGTCGTGAATTCGCTAAATCTTACCTCTATATTCACCCATGAAGAGGAGAACAGCGGAGCCCACATCCAAGTGCTCAAGGAGGGCGAGGCAGACATGATCTGGGAGTTCTGATTCTGCAACGCAACCCCTCGCATGTATCCCAAATGTGTCCCAACGTGTCGGATGCTTGATCAAATGTGGCTGTGGCTCGGAGGTTCCGCCTGGCGTTCCGGTCACCGACCGCATCGTCGAGATCGGTGGCCGCTTTGAGGCGAAGGCAGAAGGCCAGCGCGTGCCTTTCATCGGGACGTCAGCTGCGAGTAACTGGAGAGATCAGAGGGGCTGGGAAGAGCAGGCATCCAAATCATTCTCATAGTCGTTGATAACATGCCAGCGTTGTCGGTCGCCGCCTTGGTGTTACCTTGCTGCGTGCGCCGGTGCTCCGTGGTCGTGAAAGCCGAGGCACCCAGAGAGACGCTAATGCTGATCCCACGGCAGCTGACAAGCGACTCTGAGATCAAGGACTGGGGCTTCGACCCGTCCCAAATCGAAACCTGGCCTTCAGGGAACAGGAAAACTCCAGTAGTCCTGGAGGGTCGATTGCAGTGTCGATTCGTAGTTTGCAATTAGCCGTGCCTCTCAAGCAGGAGAGTCGCATCCGTGTCTCCATGCAATGCCAGGATGTTCGCCAGATGTCGGGCTGTGAGATCGAGGTTCGTGACCTGCCCTCGCACGATGAGGCGATCTGGAGCAAGCAATCCTTGCTCAGACTGAAAGATGGCATGTTGCAGGGACTCTGCACGTTGCTCGGGAACATCGAGTCGCGTGTGAAGGCCGCTGTGACCCCATTCAGTCCAAAGCGCAGAGAACTTCGGCAAGTTGCGTCACAGGCAGCGCAACAGTTTCTGAAAAGGCTCGAAGAGGCTGGGCTCTTAGGGACGCGCCGCCATACGCCGCCGGCATTCCGCACAGTCGACGAATCTTGGGTTGATGGCCTGATGAGCTCTTTTCGTGCCTTGTTTGTGACTTGACATGCGTAGGAAGGGCAGAGGGGGAGCAAGACCTCCTTCCCAGAAACATCACACCGCGGCCTGACCAAGGTCATGGCCGATGGTAGCGTGTCCCTCCCTGCTCCGTCCTACGGTGCGAGGCATCGTGCTCCTTCGCAGCTCTTCTGTAGAAAACAACCCTGAACTTTGAGAGGCCCTCTCCTTCGGAGACGTTGCCGGAGGCAGGGCCTTTTCCCGGAACCCCACGCCCGTGCGCCGTGCTCCGTCGCTCAGGCCTCGGACGTTTGGGCGAAGCCTGCTCCGAGTGCCAAGGCCGGGCCCGGCCGCAAGTCTGTGTTGTGGAAAGCCCGCGCTCCCTGGGAGGACGATCCCTGGGCCAGAGAGGATCCCTGGAGCAAAGCCAGGGACGGAGGCAGAGTCGCGCGGACGTTGTGCATCTGAAGTATCGTGCGACGCTCGCAGGTGCGGCAAAGGCGGGATCCTTCCTTATAGTTCTCGGATTGGAACGTGGGTTGATTGATTGCAGTGCCAAATGAGCAGCAGATCCAATCGCGAGTGCTTTCCTGCGAGTGACATGGCATCTCCTGGCACGTGACGCTGACAGGAACCTTCGAGCACCTTCGCTTCAGCAGACTCCAAGGTTGGGCGGGACCCGGGGAGCATGAGAGTAGATGAGAGTAGAAGAGACTTGCTGCTAAGCAGCATGATTTCAGCATTTTTTCGCAGCGATTAGCCCTATCCAGCACTATAGACCACACAGCACACCAACCTTCCGGCCTGTTCCAGCTGCTGTCTTCAGCTTTAACTCTTTTCGTGGAGGCTTCCGATTCACGGTCTGTCACTTTCGACAACAACCTCAAGGCACTCGATTCGCAAGCATGCAGAGTGCATGCAGTACGCCTGAAGCCGAGCCGCTGCATCTTCTCTGCATGCTTGCATGGACGGCGGCAGGTGACTGACATTCACGCCAGTTATGCCCAGCTCTTGGCTGGTTGTCGTCGAACATCTCTCTATCAGAACTCGAGTCTTTCGTGTGTTTGTGCCAGCAGAGCAGCTTGAGCCGTCGGGAAGCTATAGGGGACCCAATTGAGCCTCTCCCTTGCTCTGGGCAGCTGGGCTGCTTGCTACGAGATAGCGCGAGTTGCAGCGTGTTGAAAAGAATCTGCATTGAAGTCCATTTACTGCTGCTTGCTGGGGTGCTGCGTCGTCTGACTGAGGCCGCTCCGTCTCAGGCACGAGAGGACGGTCAGTTCCTAAGCAGAAGCAGAGCAGAGCCCATGCCATGTGCGTGTGTGTTCTTCATGTCTCTTCATCTCCGAGCGCCGTAGCCACGGCTTCCCTCAAGTCAGTTGGGGATGTCATCCTTAGCAGTCCTCTCTTTGCAGATTCTTGAGAATACCTGTTGGCAGTTTAGTGCTGACCGCCTGCGCTATGGATGCTGAAGACCTGCCGCGGCGCCGGCGGGATGTGGAAGGCGGCAAGGAGCCGTCTCGCAAGGTGCCGGAGCTTTCAAGCAGGCGTTTTCTTGTGTACGCACAATCCCCGGCCCGGTCTGTGGGGGCATAGGGCAGTGTGTGTCGGGACGTGCAGCGGCTGTGCAGCATGTTCAGGAGCGTGTGCGGCAGTTGCAGCGGGAGCAGCTCGGAGACTACTCGGAGACTGCCGAGCATGCAGGCTAGATAGGCAGCTAGCGGCCAGAGAGGCTAGGCATCGGCTGGGCAGGGTCTGCAGATTCAGGGTGTCGGGCTTGGAGCCGCTCTAAATCGTTGCCTAAGGCATGCCGAGCAGCAGGCGGGTGAGCCGATACTGCTCCTGGTACTGCTTGGAGTTTTCTTGCTGATCTTTGTCGGCTCATTCATCTTCGCCATGCGCGCGGCAAAGGGACAGCCCGGAGAACAATCATGAGCACGTCGTCTTCGCCGTGGTTGTGGTCAAGTACGGCTAAGGCCATCAGGACCAGAGCTGGCAGATGAGGCGTTGAAATACTTCCCCAGCGCTGAACAGTCATCAGAGACCCCGACGATTCACGGCTGCGAGTTCGCGGAGCTGAAGATCTCTGCACATGTAGAACCGCTTCAAAGCTCATGCTGGGTCGAGATATGCCTTGCTGCTTTGATTATTGTTGCTGCCCGAGCCCGGCTCCAAAAGATCTTCCGTTTAATCGCATGTGACATGTGTGGCCAGGCTTGAAACGTGTTTTGCCGGAGGGGGGGAAGAAGATTGGTGCTACCGAGGCCAGGACCCTGCAAAGCGCGGAATGGAGATGAGCTTCGGCCGCAGCACCCAGCTGCAAGTCAAGAGTTTAGACGCTGTACCCGCCCCAAGAGCTCCTACCAGTACTAGCCTTGCAGTTTTCTGTTACCGAGATTCCCCGACGCTTTTAAGGTCCCAATGGGAGCGGAGGCGTGGTTCTGTTTCAAGACCTTTTCAGGATCCCTGTCTCTGTATCACTCCTTGCCAGCTTCTCCGCGTGTCAGGCTCGTCTTTTGCACCGAACGGCCCGGCAAAGACCACAGGCCCCGGGCCCCTGTGCTGGAGCTATTCGCTCGGAAGGAAGACTTGTATAAGCCGGAAGTGCATGGCCTTGCAGTGCAGTGCCAGTGGACATCAGTGGACCCGGTGGAGTTTGTGGCCGTGGCAGGCCTAAGCTTCAGTCCGGCAACCTCCGGACCGCACCTCGGAGAGTGCACCTGTTGTGGAAACGTGTCGCGGAACGCGATCTTCATAGTTCTGGTTCTGGTTGGTCGGGGCCGTGTTCGCAAGGCTCTCAGATGAGCTTCGCTCCCACTGGAACTTCAGGCGGGCCGGAGAATCTGTTCTCTGCAAAGGGGCAAAGGGATGAAGATACTGAGATACTGGGCAGGAGCACAAACACGAACGCAGTCAAGGAACTGCTCCAGAGAGGAAAGCCAACGTCGCGCTGCCTACACACTCATGAGAACATGCGACGAGTAAGATTTTTGCTGCAGATCGACATGGCATGTGGGAGCGCTTATGCCCGCGCGCCCGCGCGCGTGTGAGCGCAAAGGCAGACAAGCAGGCACGGACAAACGACGACGCGGCCACGATCTTTTGCAACAGCGTTTGCTAGTGCTGCTCAACCGCTGCTTCGACGACGACCACGACGGTGCGCTGTGGCGAGGGCAGAATAGAACGGACTGCGGCCGGCGTCTGCGAGAGGCCAAGCTTCTGCCATGAGCTTCGCTCCAAACAGTGGAGCACCTGGGCTTGGCAGTGGTGGTCATGCCCTCAGAATGGCACGTTCCTTGCAACGTTGAGTACCCTTCCGCAGCGCTTTCGCGTGTCCGGAGGTGTTCGTATGAGCTTCAGTCCTGACGGCCCTTCCAGCCGAGGGCTCAGCCCCATCCAGGGTAGCTACAGACAGCATGCTATACTACATCTGCATCGACTGATGATCGTGGCTCTCCGTTCTACAGAGGTTTGAGCGGATCAGGCATGCTGTACCAGCAGCGAGCAATTAAGAGGTAAGCACGCAAGCCCGGCTCGTGTTGCAACCAAGGTGCCCCGCCGCCTGTGACCTCGAGCAGTGCAGGCCTGGTGCAATGCGCTGGTGTCTAAGTAGGTGGGGTATGTTGAATTTGATCCCAGCAGCGTCACCTGTGCCATCAAGCAACTGCCCAGCCTGGCGGTGCGACAGCCCTCGGTCAGCCAGAATTTCCAAAGATTCTTTCCACAACGCATCAAGCAGTTCCGAGGGTCTTGACATGTCTTGCCGGTAATTAGATGTGTGCTACGAATCCGAACTGTCAGAACTTGTGTTTTTCCAGGGCATGTGCTTCCGCGAGCAGAAACAGCTACGGAGTGCATGTCGATTTAGGAGCTTTAGCATGAGGCAACCAAGCGTTTCAGAACGTATCTCTGCTCAGCTAATCGGCGCCCCCCCTTTGAACCGTCCGGTAGCTACGAGGGTCGAGACCCCCACGTAGTCGCAGGTGCCAAGATGAGCTTTAGTCCTGATGGGCCTGCTCCTGGCCGTGGGCTCATGCTGAGATGTGCAAATATCCTCCTGCTGGAAGCTATGGGATGCGCACGTTCGCCACATGACATGCAAGACAATGGCAGAGCCAATTCCTGAGCAACAGCGTCCGCCCAAGGTGCCAAAATGAGCTTCAGCCCTGATGGTCCGGCTGCGGGCCGTTGGCTGAGTTTCGCCGGGGATTGCAGGCCGTGCGTGCAACAGCGCAGCTTTCCGCTAGTACAGGCGGCCCATCGGCTCCCTCCGGTGGAGCAGGCTTACCCCGCTGGGATGTTGCTTTCTTTGCAATGCAGTTGCGACATGTCCCCCTCCGACAGAGGGCATGTATGAAAGGGTCGTTGTTGGTGACAGGCTCTGACGAAGTA